CGCAATGTTTAACTTTATTGGATTTCTTTTCTCACTTTTAAAAGGAATCTACAACACATGTGCTATACACACACAAGTAAACAGACAAGCAAGTGTAGCACGCATACTATTTGCAGGATTTTTTGGAATCTTTTCTACATCTATAAACAAAATTCTTTTAGACGCACAAATAAAAGAATATAACACAACAATAACAACACGACAAAATACATACGACGAAGAACATAACAATGTAGACATAACGCCAACGGCACCACAATTACCAGCCCTACCAAATAACCATCCACTATCCCTAGTCCCACGAAATTTTCGAAACTTAGCCATCACACATAATCCAAATTTTCGACTCACCACATCACAAAGTCCCATTCAACATATAATGACACACCAGTCACAAGATGATAATACTTATGAACAAATTATTGAACAACCCCATACCACCGCTTTTCAGTCTCAAAATAATCATTTTTTTAGCCCACGATGAGCCGCCAACTTGGATCACTACACCGATCAAATTCCCACCCAACCAATCTTACCTCTCCAATCCCAATAATACCACTTTTTGCTTTTCCGCCACCCGATTTTCCATCTAGTAATGTAACATCAGGCATGAATTCCGACACTAATTCACACATCTCAGTTTTATACTCCATCTCACAGCTAAATAACCCGAATATTGAAACCCCCGATGAATTCGCCGACTCAGAACCATCCCCATCCAATAATTTTCATAACCCTTCTAATTTTTCTCAACCTCCTTTTCAACCCATATTATCCAATAACCCTGACCCAATTACTCCCACACCCTCTTATGCTTCCCAAGTTACCCCAACCTATTCCTCATACCATTCTGACCAATCAACTCATTCTCCAGACACCCCCCGAATCTCCCCAGAGCTAGATAATTTTATTACCCTTCAACAACAACCCTACCACCTTAATACCCCAACCATAAACCAAATCTCCTCCACAATAAATTCATCCAACCCCCCTACCCCTACACCCTCTTCAACTTATACTGAATCATTAGCACCATCATCCACATCAACTGAATCTTCACTCAACACTAATAGAGCTTACCGCACTTTTAAAAGAAAGTTCCCCAACCATCCTTTCCCAGCAAAACCAGGAACAGCCCGTGAATACATCAACCACCCCAAGCATACTAACACAAAAGAATTTTTAGCCATCACCTTACCCTCATTCCCACAATACACCTTAAACACCCCCCACGACACTAACGAAACACGCAACTTCGTAGATGAATACGTTTTAATGCCTACTCTCTCTTGGACCTCATATTATCATTTCACTAACCCTCTTTGCTTACCTTTATCTAACACTCACATCGATATAGAGCGAAATACGGACATGCTATATCGACTCACTACACCACTAACACCAAGACAATTTACTTACGTTGGATATAAAAAATCACTAAAAACACACACTGCACCTAGAGCTAATGAATATACACTAGAATACTACGATCACAACATCATCAGAGCTAACCAAGATCAATTCTTAGACGACGATCGCTTCGCTAATCCACAAATCACCGAGAAATTTTTCATCAAGACACCATATGTATTTACACTAAACATCTTCGACCGAAAGTTTGATCACATTATTTCAGAAGCACTAACAAACACACAAGCATACGAAAGTTTTAAAGAACGCTTCCAAATCTTTTCACTAACCTTTCATTTCCTTGCACCACACGAAAGAGATTTGCACTGCTCACATGATATTATGTTGCGCACTAAACAAACACATACATACAGTTACTATCGTTTCATCCAAAATCACTTTGACCTCCACACACCCTCTAGACAACCACACCATCGTTTTCAATTCATCAATTCAAAATACACTTCACCGTATTTCCTAAATTTCACATATTGTATTAAAGACACTAACCTCCATGGTATTCTTCGTAATTATGACCCCATAACCCAAATGTACATCTTCTGTCCCATTACCAAGACCTTCAACGCCGAAGAATCCCGACCCTTCCTTATCCCGCACGAGTTTGTACAACCCATAGAAATCCCAATTTTAGAATTCATCCACAACACTAAATTTAACCACAAATTATATAACTTAATCCAAAACACACCTTATGAGTTTGCAGTAGGCACTGAAGAACTAACCACTATCAAGGCACTTCAATTGCTTTGGCCACTGCTTCAAACTAAAAATATCATCCGCATCTTAGCTAAACTACTAACAACTTCAGAACTAATTCACGACATCTTCCCCCACGGTTTTTTCCCCGACGACTAACAGGTAAGTATGAATTAAATGAATATTACTAACTAATTAAAATATTAAAAAACTCACCATACTTTATTCATGTTTTCTTTAGATTTTTAGCCTTCATCCGACGATCACCTACAAAAACCACAAAAGACAAATAAAAAATCGCAAATTTCATCAAACAGATTTCAAAAATTCTATTAATCTCTTACACTTATAAATTTATAAATTTAATACCAATGCAGTAAATTCATTTCTAAAATTTTCCCCCACAAGCAGTAAATCTAATTATGATGAAAATTTGTATCTTAATATTCCCCCATGACTAGCAGAAAATTTCTAAATTCTATGTAGTAAATTAAATAAATGCAAATGCAGTACTAACCTTTTGATATTTTCATTCATTCGCACAGAAATTCTATCCACACTCGCATAGCTCGCCCACGAAGAATTGTTTAAAATAATGAATTTCAGTTTCAAGTTTTCACACTCAACAACTCTAACATATAATAACATGTTTCAAACTTTCCTTTAGCCCGGTTGGAAAGGAATCATATACTAAACAAAACTAACCAACGCAGCTTACTAAATACCACAAATCATAGAATAACAGCATGACTTAGAAAAAGAAACCAACGGTACCCAAACCGGATTAACCCAGTTTAAAACTGGATAATTTATTCTTTTGAAGACTATTATAAAGTCTAAGAAAGAAATAATAAAACACAAAAAAGTCGAAAGACAAACCCATACCACAAACAATTTGATTTTTGAAAAAAGGACACAACCAACAAAACATAAGTAAGACCACAACAAACTCAACATAAAACGTTGTCACATAACAGGACCCCTCACAAAAACCGCATGAAATCATACTCCCACTCCTGGCCTAACCCACCAGGAAGGACGTCCTGAGCATGCTCTATAGCCGGCCTAACCCACCGCGCTACATCCACGCTTTGTGACCACACCACTATTTTTAATAAGAGCTACTCAAGTGTGAGTAACTCTTCAAAATAACCGAACTAAAACAAAAAGCTTTTGTGAAAACAACTAACTAAAATCATTATTAAAAAATATTAAACTAATAAAAGTTTTATAAAATGTAAAATCACATGATGCAATATATAGATCAGAATACAACACCAAGGACGAACATCAAAAGACAAGACGACCCCACTACACTCGAGAGAGAATGACCAACTACAATCGATATGCCGCTCACAATCACAACTCAAAGGATTTAGAGTACGACTTGACCTCGCAGAAAAGGACTTCATTGAACTAGACCAATGACCACCTCGATGTTCAAGTATACGTACAGATCCGAGTAACCAGGCATCCCCTCCACGCACAATCTCCACGCCATTCCCAAACTAGATCATACACAAAAGAAGTTCTCCACGCAGAACAGAAAAACCTGACATAGCAAACCATTCTGAAATCAGATTTGAGTTTGTTGCAAAGACGTAGTCGTTGTCACTAGAAGACACAACGTCTTATGTCTCTAACTCCAGCTTCCTGGAACTTCCCTAACAAAAGAGGAAACGGAAGAAAATTATGATGTTCGCCAAAAACAAACGTCCATCATCCATCCTTCGAATTGCAGAAGAACTATTCTAAAAAACTCTGTAAAACCCGGATGGGTGGAACCTGATCTAAACTACATTTTATGATTGGATAAATTAAATGTTTTACCAATGTAAAGTATTTAATATTAACCAATCATGATCCATCTAACTAACAACCCACTTATTTGTAAGTGCTGAAGTTACTTGTAATTTCAGCACCAGAGAGATTTGAATTTAACTTAGAAATTAGTTGGACTCTCCCGAGCACTTCAGCAGCCGCAATAAACCAGTATACCCTAGATCTATTGAGCCTAGCAGAGACTAGTTAAACAACCTGAGACTAGATAGTATAAGAGTAAGATTAGGATCGGTATTAGACTAAGAAGTTGCACGAATCTATCCGGCCGAAAATAAGATAGCGTGACGAGCAGACGGTGTACCCTATCCGAAATTACTCTATGAGTTACACATCTGTCCTAACTCACCTAGTAACTTAAGATATGTTTCAGAAGATACCAAGTATTCACTTATAGAGTCAAACGAAAGGAAACCATGAAACTTCTATCATCACTTCATAACTTGACATAAGAGAGAAATTGAACTGTTGACTATACCATTACTACTCGTATTGTGTCTTCGCAAAACAAACGCCCTTAACAATGTCAAGAAACAATTCAGTTTTGTAGTTAGTTGAGTCACTAGTATGTTTAGTCAAATTGCCTTCAAAATTTGTCAACAATGAAGTGGACCAAAGTACACGCTTGGAACGCAAACATTATAGGCACGAATATCTTCCTATACAGGAACAGTAAAAAAACAATAGATGATAAGAAACTTTCTTCCTTACATTAAATTTCACAAGACCGAAGGGATCTACTCAACAATCTTCTCCCCCCTATGGTATCTACTTAAGAATCTCAACCGCTATGAAAAAATACAGTAAATTAGCACTGAGCTTTCTAATTAGAATTCTAATTTGGCTGCATTCTGATTGGTCGAAAATTCGAATACCTTAACCTACTTTCTGAAAAAAGGGGGGGGGATTGTTAATTTGATCCGACTGAAGTTTAAACTTTTATGCTATGAATAGGAGAATGTGGTACCTTGGTTAATCTTTCGAATAACAATAAGATCAATCTAAAATAAGAGAACAGTTGTTCAGTTACTAACTCATGAGTGTCTTTGAGCATTTGTAGGCCCCTCTGTGTGAAGAGACTCTCCTGGAGGGATCTGAGGTAGCTCTTCAGAAGAGTAGTCATGCTGGAAGATTCCGTGAAGTCTTCCTCCGTCGCCTGGAACCTATAACTCAACAGTGCCCATCATTCAGCATACACTCAGCCTACGCTCCAAAACCTAGCTACAAGCTCAAATATAAGACCATTTTGAAAAAATTACATACTCCGCAGCACTTAGATCGCGGAGGTCGAAAATAAACGGGGGGTTGGACATTTTCAAACGAAAAAAAAACCCTTTTTCATTGCGGGGTTCAATATTACCAGGTATTCACACAGCTTCGGATAAGTTTTTGATTGGAATCATGAAAAAATCGAGCCACAAATCAGCCAGTCCCCAAAATTTAAATGAGAGCGTTCACTTTCCGACATAAATAGATTTTCTAGCTACATCTAAACAAATGTTGAAGATATTCCATAGCCAAGTCAGTTTGTTTGGAAAGCTAAGGTATAATTCCCAAATGACATAAAAAAACTTTTCCCAAATGGCATAAATTTCAAGTTTTAATTATAGTCCAAACGTTTTCTATCAATTTTTAATTCTTAAGTTTTGACAGGAACGGAAACATGTGAACAAGATATGGAATTAATTGCTTCTAAACAAATATAAAGTGACAATTTCGTCAAAAAATTGACCACAAGAAGCTTACTAGTAACAGCAAGCTTATGCTTTTGCTAATAAATTCAGCAATCTTTTAAAGTTATAATGTCAATCAACATTTGAATTGAAAATTTGACTTATTTTTCCCCATGGTTCACGAAAAAGTTTTTCTCGATTTTTCTAATGCACTGTTGCATGAAATTTATGCCATTTGGGAATTTCTTCATTTTTATGCCATTTGGGAATTATGCCATTTGAGACGTAATCGTTTGGAAACACGGACATAAACTAAGCGTTTCACTTACCTGTCAATCTTTTCCTGCAGATGTCTGACAGTTTTGACATTGCCGCCTATGCGGAAGATGCCGTGGTCTGCGAAGGCGTTGTTAAGGTAGAGCCACGAGCAGGTCAACTCGATTGGCATCGCAATGCTCCTCTTCGTTTCCTCCAGGTGCTGTTCCAGCCTAAATCAACGTAGCTGAATTAATTCACGTGGGCAAATAAAACATAGCCAACAGTTGGAAACGAGTAAAAATGTTTTTTGCCGTTTTCTTTTGATTGCACATTATCTTCTGCGCTCATCAAATTTATCTTTTACGGAGAATATTTGTAGCTGTAAACTCTAAAGCTGGCGTGTTTTTTAATTCGGATGAGACCTACTTTTTTTTCGAAAACCTGTATTCTATGCAAAACAGCCAAAAGACAGTTGGAAAAGAGTAATGAACTCAAGAAAACAGAGAAAAAATTGACTTGTTTTTTTTTGTTTTTTCAAAAATCTTTAACTTCGAACGAAGAGACAGAGAAAATGATCTTAAAGCTCTTTGAATTTATAGAACAACTTATGATGGACTCTTTTGCTAAAATTAACCCAATTTGAGAAAACTAGATCAATTGGTAAAACTTTTATTTCGCTGGGAAATCTGATAATTAATTTCCATTTTCGAAATAAGAAGTCGATAACATTTTTCGTGACCTTTACACTTTTGCTGATCGATGAGTTTGCCTTCCTTTTAACAATGAAAATGCTCTGAACTTAAAAAGAAATCACATGTCAAACCGCGAAAAATCACAATTGAGCGTGAAATTTAAGACTTTCTTTCTGAAAAAAAAAAACAAAAAAAATTACCAAGCCCTATATAAGAGTACTAACTACGTTCATTACTCTTAAACAAAAAAGAGTATGTTTTTAAATTACAATGATGCCAAATTGAACATACCGTGGGAGTTTAAATCACGTTTTGCTATTCGATGCGGTATATCATATTCGAGTTTCCTCAAGTATCGAACTTCCGTTTATTCTGTGGATGGTAGAGACGAGGAAACGTTTTAAAAAGAAAGAAAGAATTTATTTCTCACTGTTAATGGTAAATTTGCATATAAAGAGAATTTAAATATGAAGCACCAGAAACAGTGAGGGGACAGTTAACGAACCCAATTTGGTTACTCAGCACTGCCCGTTTTATCAAATGAAGGACAAATTTGTGATCTTCAAAGACAAGGAAAAATATATAAATCTGAAAACAAAAGAAGATATTGAAAAGAAAAATACTCAAGTTTGAATTAACATAAAGCAGCAGAAAAAAAACCTTAAAAAAATTATGTAATAATTCTTGAGGCATTTCTGACGTAAAATGAAATAATTAATTCAACTTGTATTCGATAGCCGATATAAAAAGCAGGTTTCCCAGCCTTATTGTAACCAATTATGCTCGGAGCTTATGAAATTAGATGTCGACCACAATTTTTGTGCTCTTTACATTTCGGCTGCTCCATAATGGAGTTTTCCGTCCCCAAAAGTAGTGCACTAGCAGAGGAAAAGTAGTGAACTTGAAAAGAATTGGAAAATCAAACCCCGAAAATTCAAAACTGAGCGTGAACAAACTTCAAGACTTTTTTCCTGAAAAACAAACATAAAAAAACCTATATAAGAGTACTCACTGCGTTCATGAATCTGAATTATTTTCAGTTGAATGATATTAACTTTTGATTGGCATGTAATCAGAATACGTCCTGGTGCACAGTGACAGCTTTTCAACTTAGCAATGATCAATAGTGGATTAAGCAAAAACTTGATAATACATGTACCGGTTATAGGAGTAGGGATTTGCAACGTAAAACAGAGACCCGAAGCCCAACCATTGACACACATTGGAATATTATTTCAGAAATCTGTCAAAGATTTAAAGATCTGTTAAAGATTTAAAATTGAAACTGATAAATCGCATTCTTACTGTTGAATACTATGGTTGTCTAACATTCGACTTAACTTAAATTTTATTGCGATTTTTCAGAATTCGACTGTTTATGCCATCCAGGAAATTTTCAGAATTTCGATCATTTGTGAATTTTTGAGTTCTAGGCTATTTGAGACGCAATCGCTTTCATTAACTTAATTGAGACGTAATAAATTCTATCTTTACACTCAACTCATTATTAAATAACCCAATCATTTAGTTTTCGTCATGACTAGCACCACAATTGTAAAATATAATCACTCAATATGAGACAAGAACCAAGTGGACTTACCCTACGTCGAATGGGGCCGAGAGAGCACTTCTGTCTCGGCACTTCTCCAACTCGGGGATCAGACGAGTGAGCATGTTGCTGCACAAACTGTGGTAGTTCTTATAGTTTTCCACGTACTACAGACAAACAAAAATGCGCAAGATAATACTTTCAATCTATCTTTTTTTTTCATGAAACACTGAAGTAAGTACATGACTGTCTTCAGGAAGAAAGTTTATGTAATTTATTGTAACGCCAATTCTTTCAACTTTTCTGACTTATACACTAGTATATTTAGTTAAGATGTAACCGTAATTGATTTTGCCGGAATTCCGGAACCTGAAATTCTGGAATGTTCAACTGACGGATTCAGGATTCCGCAATTCGTTTAGGGTGCTGATGAATAACTGCACAATGCATATTTAAACATTAGCTAGATGTGTTTCACTGTGATTTAAGCAGCTTTGAGCCGAATCCCTAGTTATCGGAAAAAATAGTTTGTGCTCCATGATAACATTCCACTTTTGAAGTGTTTGGCCAGAGATAGTAAAATCGTTCACGAAATTCTCATTTTTTAAAACGAATTCCGGAACAGGAATAACTGTGAACTTTGGCCGGAATTCCGTAACCGGATTTCGGTACATCTCTAATATTTAGCACCACTTCTTTCACTTTTTGCTTTTTCGACTTTTAACGTATCAAAATGCCTATACCAAATTTTAGTTTTAAAAAACTCCAAAAATGATTGATACTAACCTGAATCATTAGCTGGACGATTTCGACCTCTCGTTTTACAAACCCTTGAACTCCACAGCGAAGCCGCTCCTAGAACATTAACTGCCGACTATTTTCAACTAACCACCATCACTCTACTGTATTGCATATTTTAACCAACCTCCTCTAGTTTATTGTCCTAGCAACTTCACGAAAAGGAAACAACTACGGTAAAGCGAGTTTTTTTTCCAGTCGATTTCGATTAACTCATAGAAAGATGGCAGGGAGTCAAGTGTGGTATCATATAAAAGTTCTTTCCGTCGCAAATCGGATTTTCAAAAAAAAAAAAAATTCAAAAAAGCTGTCTCAGTCAGCTCCGAGAAAAACTAATCTGATTTCTTTTGTTTTCAGACTAATTGACACGAAAATTAAAATAAGCAACTATCATAGTATCTATTTTAATTTAGTTTTAATTAAATCTCGCTAATAAATTCACTTAACGCGTTTTTCTCAAGTTATTATTAACTTAACGCGTTTTTCTTGTCCTTTGGGTTGGCCTTAAACAAAAAATGTTTCACTTTCCCAAATTCGGGACAAAAGTTTTATTCCAAAAATGGGTCATTTTGGCTTCTTGTAGCCAAGCAAAAATTACGCTAAATCTAATGAGTCAATTGACAAGTCAATTTGCGAATTTCAGGGCAAAAACTTTACCCCAAAAATGGGTCATTTTGGCTTCTTTTATTCAAGCAAAAACTACGCTGAATCTAATGACTCAATTGATGAGCAGGCTAAACCAAATTCAGCCACTTATAAAGCCCAAAAAAATTTAAAAGAGTATAATCTCCATAAATCTGTATAAATGAATATAATTTTATTTGACAGCCAAAAAATGTCCATTTCATTGAATAAAATACCAATTCTTTGCATAGAAACAAATTTCAAAACGTTTTGCGCATATTTCTGGAAATGATACCCTTGTAAAACTTTGATGGGCAAAATAAGAGGCTGAAATTGATATAGATTGCTTATCAATTGACTCATTGGATTTAGCGTAGTTTTTTACTGACTAAAAGAAGCCAAAATGACCTATTTTTGGTGTAAACTTTTTGCCCCGAATTGATTGCACCATAATAACTCTGGTAAAATTGTAATCAACTTTGATTCTCATCATTTTGTCTTATCTCAGCCAAATTTGATAAAAACGCGTGTTCGGCTAATTTAATCAGCGTTGTATTATAATCCTTCACTGAAAAAACAACAACAGGTTTTAGGCATATAAAAACATAACCAACTGACAGTTGGAAAAGAGTATTGAACTCAAGGAAACATACTAATTTCTGAAAAACTTCAATTTTCGAATTTTTAAGAAAAATATATGCCCTAAAAGCTCTTTGAATTTCACGAACAATTATGATTGATGCTTTTTTGATACACCGAGGCGATGCATAGCTTCGCACCACTTGCGATAACACACAAACAGAGCATTGCAAGCTAGCATGAAGAAAATAAAACAAGGGCCCACCACTACCAAAATTTCATAAATTTGTCTATAAATAGTCAAAACAGGTCAACAAACACAAAAACTGGCGTTTAAAAAGTATTCAGACGAAATAATTGAGCGGCAACTGAGGCGACAAAAGTTAGTTAGACTCCATTTGAGTAAAATTGTTTTCAATTAAATAACTTCAATTGAAACTTCTAAAAACCTCAATTTTTAAGCTCCACCCTCATAGAAACACTCGAAAATATAAAAATTTAACTTTGTTTACAATCAACGCTATGATTTCATTCACTTGATGAAACATAAGCCGAAACAATTGAGCCCAAACAAAACTACTGGGCAAAAAAAAATTCTTTCAATTACAATAAAATTAATTACAACACAGCAAAATCCGTAACAAAGCAACTACGCCGACCAAGTTCGAACCCTCTTATTTTGTTGCGGGTCCGGTTTACTTCCCTACTTCTACGCTACAGATCCATGATACCTTGAAGCTAAAGTGCCAATTGTAATAAAGTCTGCCTTAATATCGTTAGCATTGGCTGGCTGTACTTAATAGCTGGTTAATTATAAAAATGAACACTTTCAAAATGAACATATTTTGTCGCAACAGTATTTGCGACTTAGGTTGGAAAAATAGAGTTCAAACTATCACAAAAAACTTTGCTTGTGTAAACATAGCCAACAGATAGTTGGAAAAGAGTAACAAACGCAAGTAAACAGAACAAAATAACAGAAAGAAAAAAATAGACATCCTTAAAGCACGTTGAATATCCAGAAAATATTACAATTGACATTTTTTTCATTGATTTATCCCAACTTGAGAAAACTGGATCAATAGGTAAAGTTTTTATTCCGCTGGAAATCTAAAAATTACATTCCACTTTCGAAACTAGAAAATGTTCACGTATTTTGCGCCATTTCCACGTTTGTATTTGGAGGATGCTTTTTGCGTAAATTTCAGCAGATGAATTTCAATTGAACTCAAAAAGTTCATATATACCTAAGTGCATTCATAAATAAGTCTATATTCCGATTTAACAAAGCATAAAAAGATAACCCAATTTGAGAAAACTGGATCAAAAGGTATAACTTTTATTTCCTTGGGAAATCTGATATGTAAATTCCATTTTCGAAACTAAAGACGATCACGTTTTTTGTGACCTTTACACTTCGCTTGCGGAGTTTGCCTGCCTTTTAACAAAGAAAATGAACTGAAATTGAAAAGAAATCAAAAGTCAAACCTCGAAAAACCAAAACTGTCTCTCAAGTTTAGCAATAGAAGAGTGCTGGAATATAGCTTGTGTACTGACCCTGTCGCTCTCGACTTTGTCGCAGTTGGTCTTGTGTGAATTCTGTACCGCCTCCACTTTGGACTGGTGCTTGGCGAGCAGCTGGCTTGCGTTCTCGCTCGTCGGATCAACACGAGACATCTTGTTACGCGCATCCTCCAAACTGAAAAGACACGCGAACAAAACCATTATTTCCGCTTAATGTCTTCGTCAAATTTGGGACAAGATTGATACAAAGACCAATTGTAAGCTAACAGTAGTATGTACTTTTTCTATCGATTATATTTATTTTTCTATCGATTTAACTTGACGCAATATCGCGATTCAGAATAAAACGGCTATTTTTTTCTCTTTCAAAGAACATCAGATGCGCATTCAACATCTCATTTCAATATTTTGCTGTTTCGGACTTCTTGTGTACTCAAATAAGTACAATCGCATTCGAACATTTGAGTGAGTCACGGCATATTGAGCCATAATAATCGACCCTGATTGTACCATACACAAAAGAAAGTTTCATTCTACCAATCTCAATCTTACTTTTTCTCTGAAGTGGAGACATCGACACAATGTTTCTGTAGATTTCTCAGCTCTGAACTCATAGCCTCATAAGACTGAAACAAACAAAACTCGTAAGTTCGGCTTCCTCAACCTTAAAGACTGCAACAAAAACATTAAAAAGTCAGCCGATTGAAGTCGAGCTTTGTCGATCAATATGTCAAGACTTCAGAGCTTAAATTTCCAACTTGAACTGGCTGAGTCAAAGTCATCAGTAAATCGCGCAAACCAATTATTTGGGGAAAATATTTTAAAGCGTTAACTTTACTCATATTAAATAAGGCGGCAGAAGTTGATGATCATCAACATCCTCGGAGACCCTTCAGTTTTCATGCCAAAAGGGAGGGAGAAGAGTCCAATAAAGGGGAGGTGGAAGAGCCCACGAGTCCCTGTGGTGTGTTCAATGAAGTTATTCTTACATCAAAATTTTTTGAGATACGAGTCCAAGTTTCACCGCTGGTCTCGTTAATGTACCTAAGCCCTTTTTAAGCTTTGAGGTTATACGAGCGCGCGATGTCATCCGAGCCGCTCAAAACGTCTAGCACTCGATCTAGCGGTCAGATGCCTAGTGATGTAAAGCTCTCAAGTATCTACACGAGGCCATCTTTTTCGAGTAGTTCCTCCATTTGCGTCCATTTAGTCCTTTTGATGAGAGTTGGGGAGTACTCTTTATGTAGACGCTTCCAGAAGCTGTCAGGTCAATTATTTGCTTGCTTTCAGAACTTGTTGAACAATTTACTTGTAGATGCTTTGTAGAAGGCTGCTGCTAGAGCGTAGACGAATCGACGACCCATTTGGAAATGGTTGAGTGTCAGAGAAATGTCGTCGTTGATCTCACTACTGATATGCGTTAACGGTCGAGAGTTAAGCTTGTAGCATTGATATTCTCGTTTACGATAGTAGCAAACAGATCTTTTGATAGTCAATCAGAACCGAGATTCAAAGAGAAAGCTCGTTTTATTATTGAAACTATTCGCTCCCAGGCACCATCCGACATTGTGAAATTGTAGCGTTTCAATTTTCGTGGTTTCGTTGAATTTGATTTGTTCCGAGCATAAATACCTACGGGCTCCGACGAAGTAAGTAGCGTTTGTCGTGCCGAATTTAATGAACAAAGTCGTCCGTGTAGAAGCTTTCATGCAGCAAATGAGAAAGATTGCGTTTGATTACACAGTAACCGGCAGCAGTTCCATGAAGCGCAAAGATGGCAAGGAATGGCGAGCATTTTGCATTTAAAAAAAGTCCGGTATACTGATATTGTTCCATACCACTTTTAATAGGCCAAAGGACGCGAAGAGCATTTTGATCCCACTCACTAATGCTGGTTTTGCTTGCATAAATACGCCTTCAGTATCCGCCGATACGGCCAAAGATTTTCCCAGAATCGAAATACAAGGCCAAACATGTTGTTTAGTAGGTCTATTCCAATGTCAAGGCAAGAACTCAACGTGACGCCTTTGTAAGTCGAAGCAGCGTTCGCCACATCGCGTACCTTCACGGCATTTTTGGATTACTATTAACCTCGGCTATGAGTATTGAAAAGATAGACGACGTATCTATTTTCCAGGCCAGTAGTAAGCAATTTCTCTTTAAAATGAGTGGTTTCAGGATCCATTTTCAGATATCTCTGTAGTGATGGCAGTTGAGCTTTTGCTACCAGAGTTGATGCGCATTTTCTTCTGGATTTTCCATAGTCGATTTCTTTCTTGGCGATATCTGTCATCCTCACTGCTTTCGAGCTTTGTTGTTTTCGTGGATGCCTGATCCTTCCACCTTCCAGAATTTTTCCACTATTTCAGTAACAGCAAGGTATTCTTGTTCGATTGTGTCAATGAAAATAGTCAAATGCGAATTTCACTCGCTCATATTAGATTTCTGGATCAGCGGGCCAGTGATTGCCCAACCTACTAGATTTTTGACAGCGATACTTAAAAAAGCCTGTAGTAACTTTCCGATCATTGCGCTCCGCATTGTTGCGGAAACCATCTACGCCGAGCACAATTTGCACTGTTGTAGCCTAGATCCGGAAAGCTGACATTTCGAAGGTGGTTGTAGAGTGAGCACGTTCTAATACGGTTGTATGTGTCGATGGCGTCTAAATTCAAAGCTTCAACTGAGTAGAATGACTGCAGAATTAATGCAGGCTTCGTAGTGTAATGTGTTCCGATACTTAGCCTGTCTAGAGAGAAAGAAACTGTCTTTACTAAAAGCGCTTCGTACGCAAAGCTGTAGTTTTTGGATCGGTTTACACTGAAGTGTTTCAGCTGTTTGATGTCGTTTGATGTCATTCTTGAAAAAAATTACTGGCATTAATTGCAACTGATTTTTGATTATATTTACAATTAGAACCGGAGCTTTTTGTTGTCTTGTTTACTGTAATTCCAAGATGCATGTTTTTAAACTTTTGGCTGTGAGTTTAAAACTGCTTTTGTCAATGTGTAGAGTTGAGTGATAATTTCATCGCAGTTTTTGATTAAAAATCGCTTGACTGATGTTCATTCACTGAATCTGGGTTGGCCTAAGCAGTTCAAGCACAGCTTATGTTGTTTAACCATCTCTGCGCGTTGATTTACGGAAAGTTTGAAAAAAAACGGACATTTTCCAAAAAGGAGATCTGTCGTACTTTTGCCTGATCAAAACTTAACTTGTTAGTCCGGTCGTCGGATTGTTGGATGGTTCTATGCCCAGGTTCTCGCATGCTCTTTTTTCCAGATACTGCGTTGTCTTTGAGTGTAGCGTATTCGAGGTCATGCACCACGCAGTTTTCTTCCCACTTCATTAGTAAGCTTAAGTGGAGCTTTGAGCGAGCGAGTTGGGGTTAGGTTACTAGCTGAGTATCAATTTGTCAAACTTTTTGAGTTCCCCGATGAACGCTGACACCGCATACCTTGGGTTACTGTATCTACGCACTAATTCAAGTATTGTTTGTTCGTACTGAGAAGAATTGGTTCAGTAGTTCTCTATCAAAGGTTTGGCATTATCAGTACATAATGATTGAAGTAAATTATTTTCTCAACAGGGCTTAGAAGTGGGTTGTTGCCTTTTGCACCCTTAAAGAGCTCGAAGCAGTTGTTCCACTCCAATGGGTTGCCGTTAGTTTCCAACTTGTTCTGCCTGAGTCACAATCATCAGTAGAAGAAGTATATAGTAGAAGTATGTACAAGTAAATATTCCGGATAAAAATTTGACCAATTTTATGTTAAAACCATATAAAATATGGCGGCAGAAGTTGATGATCATCAACACACAGCCATCACAATGAGAATATTAACCGTGTTGAATTAAAAACAGCTGCCGATGGATTGAGAAAGGTACTTACATTGATGAACTCTTTGGCCTCGGTGAGGATAGCAGTGTTGACTTCGTTTTCCACGGTGAACTGCTGCTTAGACATGCTCTCGAGTTCTCGTGCCATGCCTTGGAACACCAACCTGCAAAATAAACAACCAAAATCTTAGAATAGTCTGATTGATTGGTTGGCTCTCTAATGGTTGGTTCTCTAATTATATAAGATTTAGAGTTGTAACTGAAATTATCAGGGGTTTATACTGAATCAGAGACAGTTTACGAGCCGACTATATTGTGGGACTGGACCATTAGTATAAATTCCACTGTAGGACGAATCAATCACTCATACAATTACTAAACGCACGATGATGATATCATCATTATCATGCACCTCGCTTATTTAAAAACTAAATCATCGCAAACTCAATGCTGAACTCTTTCTCAAATACATATATGCGACTACGGCATCATGTAAATATCTTGGCGTTATAGTAGATAATCTACTCTCATTTCTAAAAAGTTCATACACTGAGGCACGGTTGCAACTTCGCGAACACATACGAAAATGCGGCAAAAAGAATCTCCAAAATGCATAAAAAGACAAATTTTGCATGCAATAATTTGGAATATAATAAACCAAAGACAACCACACTAATTTTTTTAAAATAAAAAAAAATTGGAACGTGTTAAGCCAGGGCGGATCTAGGATTTTCTCGAGGGGGCAGATTTTCAAAAAATTTTGTTGACCTTTTGTTTAGGTCGACCAATAAATTGACTATCTGAGCTCTCACTATAAAGACACCAATTTGACCAAATTTTCCGCGCCGCAGGCAAATTTTTGAAAAAACTGGCCAAAAAAGGCGTTTTTAGGCACTTTTTGGAAAATTTTGATCCAAAAATTGCGTTTTTTCTGCGCGCGCTCCCCACTCAAAATTAGCATATATTGGCGCCCAAGGCGCCTTTAGAAAAATTAAATTTAAGGGTCAGTCAGCCAAAAATGGATATCTCAAAATAGTACAAAGGGGGAACTTTTGGGTCGGCAGGGGGGTCGAATCCCTGAGGGGGCGTCCCCCCCCCTTAAATCCGCTACTGTATAAAACCAAACTGAGAATATTTTGTATTTCGCGAAGCCTTAATTCAGAACAACTTTGGAAAGGAACTTTTTTCATTATTCTGTTGCACTCAGCAAAGAGCTTTTTCGGTTGATTTGATGAATTTAAAAAATCATCAGCGGTGTTAACTTACTCGCAACCAAATTTCACAGCTATTAAATTGATAATACTGCATAAGCTGCAAAAGTGCCACGAAAACAGAGCACTAATACTTACGACTCAAGATGGGGAAAAAGGCCTTGCAGTATCACACTACGCTGTGCGTGTGAAATAATCAAATCAAAACTCGGACAAAAATGAAGTGTAGTCTCAAAAATGCGACATTTTATTCCAACATCAATTCTGATAAACTATTGCCAGTCTAACAGTAACCCAATATTTCGAAAGGCTTTACTTTTCTACGGAAGTTTTTCAAATCAATTTTTATATCTTCACCGTTCAATTATGAGAATGATTTACTTCAGAAAAAAATGATAGCATAGTGCAACCTGTTTAGATATTAAAACTCAACCGTAATTTTAAATTCTTCATTTTCGTAAAGAAGCTCTGCTTAAATACAAAGAAAATCGAAATTCTCAATTAGAATAAGATAGAATTGTCTTCACAGACAAACAGAGGATCAAAAATTGCTTCACATGAGTAAAAATAGTTAGCAACAATTTTTCTACAAACTTAGGTACAGACTGAAAATTAGGAATTTTGTTTCGTTCATAATTTTAGACACAGAGCCCAAGCTGCGCTTTGTAGACACATTTTGTTACATATCGGATTCGAACCTGCAACCTCGAGATTAGGAGTTTCAACAATAGACACAAATTTGCATGTAGAAATTAGGAATAAAACAAGCTGAAGGGTTCCACACTAACTTTTCACGTGATCAATTTGAAGGCATACAGCCAAATTTAGAATAAATTATGCATTTCAAAAAAATTGTTAAATATATTGACTTCATATTTAAATTTTCTTGAAACTTAAATACAAAAAATAAATTCATTTACCATTGTCCACCGACTCCTGTCTATTGAATCAAATGCTTTCACAGGCTTGCAAATCTCGTCTCCAAATTGACCTCGCAAAAAAAATTCTTAGATTCAACGCGATATTGGGATTTTACAAAAATTTCTGGCTGTTTCCTTAACTTAAGAACTTCACTTTTTCAAATTGTTCGTTCTTTCCAAAGTTTGTCATTTGATACAGTGGGCAATTTCTCTAGGGTTGCAGATCTTGGCTTAAAAAATGAGCTTTCAGGCAACGGTAGTTTTCGAGATACAGCAGTTCTTTTGTGAAATTTGTAAAAATTCTTTTTTTTTTGCATTTTTGTTCATTTTTTGTGCTGAGAGCATGGCGCGGAATCGGCTAGTATTGATGATAGGTATCATTATGCATTCCATTTAGAACTAAGTTAGTTTAACATTATAATCTATCATAACTTTAGCAAAAACAAAAATTTAAATTAATGATAATTCATGTGTTTAAATTATTGATGCGTAGACTCTAAGCATGCGCTCACTCTGCCTTCTGTTTATCGAATTCATAGCCTTGTGCTTATAATGTTTAAGTTACATTCTAATTGCATACATACTTAATTGTTACGAACATTTAAAAAATAGGGAGGAATGTTGTATTCGGGTGTTTCCGTTTTTTTCTTTTCCACGCAAAATCAGGTACCACAATCATCAGAATGGGCCGAGTAATAAATCTTATTAAAGCCCTTTTAGTCGCAATTCAAACGAAATTTAAAAAAATACTTCTAGAACTGTTTTCCAATTGGTGTAGTTTACCATGACTTTCGATACGCCTAGGTCCTCTTTTTCGATCAGATCTTTTTTTATCACACCACGCAGAAAAAACGACCCTTATTCGAAAAAAAAATATTTTATTTTTGTATTAATAGTCGGAACATTCTGAGCTACTTGCACAGTAACCGTCTATCTTTGTTTTGCTGATGCTTTTGTTATGACTTATGGAGAAACATATATTTCCTTTCCTTCTCATTATAATCCCCATGAAACGCGTTAAGAGCTTACGCTAAAGGGTGCACTCCTTGGTTCTGCTCTTCGACCGTCTTCACTTCTACAACAGGGGATGAGGGGGCTCCACCGTGGCCACTAAGACTGCCATTTTGAACACCTTCTGGGGGAGCCTGGGGAGGGTTGAGAGATGCTGCAGCTGCCAGTAAAGACTGGGCTATTTTGTAGTTAGGGTACTTTTGCTGAAAGAAAGGCTCTCATTCACCACAGTTTCAGACGTCCTACGTCGTTTTTTTTTTCATAGAAAGATGAACAGACAAACAGAAACTTTCGCTGCTTCATTACTAGGCTCATTTTCTTACGTTTACTCTTTCAAGTACAAGATTATTTTGAATACATTTTTTCGAGAGCGAATAACCACATGCCATAGAATACATCGAAACCAAGTTACTTAAACAAATTATTACAAAAATGTGGTTTTCCTTGAGAAGAGCGAAAGATGACAAACTCATTAAGGTGTTAATATGTGGAGAAGGGTTGGACCTAAGATTTTCCTGAGAGGTAGATTTTCAAACAAAGTTGAAAACACCCTCAATTTTTTGAAGGCGCTGGCCAAAGGGGGACTAAAATTAATTCGTCCGATAGCCGCCCTTACCCCACCCCTCACTTACTTTGACCAATTATTAGCCAAGTTTTATTTCTTTTCAAACAACTATCATCAAATCAGTAAAGCGAATCGCCTCTAACCGATCCGATGATTAACAGGTTAGGCAAAATGAATTGTGATCTCAACAGATCAGGACATTTAAGTACAGTAATAATAATGAACTGTGTGTGAGGCTATACTAAGACTATCACTTACTTTTGCGCCATCCTAAAAGATAAGGACAACAAAAAGGTCACTATTTTGATGTAAAAAAACGGATTTAGCTTAATTTTTAATCCGCTTAGAATTCCAAAACTTAAAAGCCACTTTCGAAATTAAGTAATTACCATTTTTCTCGCAGTTCGAACGTATGTCATTAAAGAGCGTTAATTGCCTTCATTTTGAGCAAATTATGATTTGAACTTCAAAAAATCAACAGTCAAACCGCGAAAAACCTATTTTGAGAGCGAGTAACTTTTAAGTCTTTTTCCTAAATAAAAAACGAATTAAACCACCGAAGCGAAACTGCGCTTCGCAAGCACTAGCAGCTCTATAAAAAGCAATAAATAAGAAAAAGTAGAAATAAGCCTCGAAGTGTTAAAAAAAAAATCGGCTACGTCTCGGATTCGACCAACGACCTAGAAAATATGAGCCGCTCGCACTAACCACTTAGCCACGGACGCTTAATTTTCATAAAACAATAGCCACAAATAAAGCAGAGAACAGATGCTATGCAATTTTCAACGCTACAGTGAAATTTCCATATATATGAACACTTTCATTTGCGAGTAAAGTTAGACAGAAGAAAGTTCGTACTAATAAACTAACGCTCGCAAGCTGGCTAGTGTAATATCATTAACAACTATAAACGTGTCTTTTACGCTCATTGACACTTGAAAATATTTTTAAAAATTGACACTTACGTATTTTCGGTCGATGTCTACAGAATCTGCAGTTGAAACTTTATCGTAAATTTGGTTGGCTTGAATTGATTTGCTAATGGCAGCCAACCCACTACTGATTGCATCGCATTCCCCAAACTGACGCTGTAGTTTTTCGTCACCCCCAAACTCGGGCAAGTTGTCGGACCTGTACAAGAGGGTAAGTAATGAATCATAGATCCTCTTAAGCGTTCCAAGAAAAAACTATTTATCACAACTAAATCTGACTTTTTCTTTTTCGTTGACGAGCGAAGCTTCGCATGAATTGAGATACGGACAGGAAAAACTGAAAATGTGCAGATTCTCGAATAACCAAAATCTCAGCTTCTTTAACAATTCAGGGCAAGTTTAGAAGAGGAATGAAAACTGCGATACATTAAAAAATCAAAGAACAGTTTTGAAAAACATACATTCAGATAAACTGAAAAACCATTCAAAAATCAAAACCAGTTACAATAAAGAACAGTTGAAAACCTAAAGAGGCGCCAAATTTTATAATTTTTATACAGAGGCGAAAGTGTGCTTCGCACCTCTTGCGATACAAAATAAAATGCCAAAAATTTCAAATGCGAAAAGTGAAAAAATCAAATGTTTTGAAATTCGATCACATAAGACAAACGAAGGATCGGGCTACACAAACTCCAATAATTTTTTTCTCATAACCAATAGATGAAACACCCAGAAAAAAATGTTGGTAAAAAAATCGATCCTCAAAAACTTATATGTACTGAAAGCGTTGCCCGAAACTTTGCAACTAAATAACCTGCATATGCTACTGATATAACTGGCTATAATATCAACAAAAAAATTTGCTATAAGCTAAGATCAAAATTAAAAAAAAAATGAAAGCTAAAGTTTCAAACGAAATCCACAAAAAAGAACTTGCGGAAATTTTGAAATCTTATAAAAACAACGCAATCCTATCAAACCTATAGATTATGAACTTTATAGGCAACGTTAGGAGCTGCCCACACAAAATTCCCATAAAAATGAAAAATAATTTTTTTCCAAAATTTCAGCCAGAAAAAAATACACTTCTGAACTTCGCGCGACATTTATTCGTATACAAAACATTCAAGTCAAAATTGCAAAAAAAAAATTGGAAAAGTTGAAAACAAAACGCTACGCCATCAACTTGAATCGATTTCAAATTAATACACATCAATAGTTTAAAATTAAACTAATTCCACGCACCTCTAGATTTAAAAAAAAAACATCAGAAATCTTGCATTTTTTTTCATTAATTTTTTTATGTATGTGAGCTATGTTTAACCTCTTGAAAAATAAAAAAGTACTTTGAGAATCTATCAAAAACTAAAGAAATGAAACACCCGGCCAGCTAGTCAACAAAAATTGGGACGAAATCATTAAGTAGATAAAAAAAACAATTTATATCTGAGAATTTGGTGCGATCCAGAGGGAAGCATCAAAATTTTGTTTGCCTTGAAACTACTCTAAATTAAGCAACTACGCCGATAAAATACAGACCAAACTCATTTGAGCAAAATGAACTTTTTAAGCAATAAAATATATGAAACCAAGGTTAGTAAAACTATAAACAGCAGAAGTAAAATTAAAAGAATAATAAAAGTAACTACATTGTAAATTGCGTGAAGCAAAAAAAAAACATTTCTACGTGGCAACTTAGGCGGAAAAAAATCAGCAGGTAAATAAACAGACGAAATTTTATTCGAAACGGAATACTTACCGCTTGAAAAAAAGTCCTGTCAGATTCGAAACCAGGACCGTTGCCGTCCCAGGCGTATTCGTTACCTCCAGACCAAGTGTGCCGGAGAGACATTGAAATTTTAATTCATTATGAAATGAACCTAATTCTACCATTTTTAATTTTGACCATTCTGTGAACAAAGTTATATACGGGAAAAAAGTTTTGCACCCGATTGCAATAAAATCATATAAAATTCACAAAAAAAGTTTCAAGAAAATGAATGAAAACTAAAAAAAAAGTTGAGGCATTTTTTACTGTTTTCCACAAAAAAAAAGAACAGTTTTCAATCAGCAAACACACAATGAACTTAACTGATTTTTACATCTTCAAAACCGACACAGCCAACGGCCATAAACTAGCAAACGAAATGACTACAAAGAATTTGAAAAAAATATATAAAATGACAATAACAAAAAAACTGTATTTTGATAAACTTAATAAAATTTGAAAATCAATTAAAAAGGTGTTTTTACTGTGCGAAATATACACAGACAAATTTAAAATGAAATGCAGTGAAAACTAATCAATGAAAAAGTAATTACACTAACGGAAAATTTCAGCCGACAAATTTAGCAGACATTTATATTTGTTGAAGTTTTCATCTGAACAGAGCTAATTAGCAATCAATCCTCTTCAAATAGAATTCAAGCAATGTAGTTGACTTTAAAAAACATTGGAGACTAAGCCGACAAAAAATAAGCCGAAAGCGACAAAGTCGAAAAATCGAAAATAAAATAAAGAAATTTATTCAAAAACTATTACCACGTATAGATTGAAAAACATTTGGGCTTCCAGAGTGGTATTATTAGCATGCTGCACAAAAGTTAAAGGCTGCATGTGAATTCAAATGACGTGTAAGAACTGTACAACGTAACGTGCTGAAATTTGTGAACAAAGCGGAAAGAAGTGCAACCAGGTTGCAACATTTTTGCTATCGCAAGTGTAATACAAAGGCGAAGCCGAGCTTCGCCTTACTTGCTTAACAACTCGTACAAAAAAAAATAAATTCGTATAAAAAACTGCTCATTATCGTATGTCTCAATAAAAGATAAGAAGGAGCTCAGATGGAGGTACGTTTTTGCTAATTTTTATATTTGTTGTACTGATGCGGGAAGAACGGTTATTTCAAACTTTGCCCAAAGTCTTTGTTGTTTCTCTACTAGAAAAAATAAATATTAAAGATAATGAAATTTTCCCAAGGACAACAGTTTTCACACAAAAAGTAAGGAGTCGCCATTTCTGCAAGAGCAATTCTCCAAAGGAAAAAATCCTTTCGATTGATTCCTTCATCTGACTTGATAGGCTAGTTTTTAAAAGTCAAAAACTTCTAAAAAAAACAGTCAAAATTCCAAAAACTTGACTTTCCAAAAACCCAGCAAAGTCAGCAAAAAAATAAGTCGTGGCTGCCTAAACAGAGAAGATTCCCTAAAACGGTTGTTGGATTAAACACTTAAAATGAGAATTGGCAGGGTAGTTTTCGAGAAAAATCTAGGCTTCCCGAAAACGTTCAAAGTTCTAAAATTACTTTATTGAATGCCATAACTTTTTCTGAGAGAAATTGGGCGCAGCCAATTATAGAAAGAAACTTTCAACAACTTGTAAAATATATTAAACCAAAACTACTGGAGCAGAAATCCTTGAAGCCAAAAAATTCAAAAAGACTTAAAATTAATTTAAAAATTGTTAAAGTCCCACCTTTGTAATAAAATTTAAGCTTTTGTGCACTCTAGAGAAGAGCATTAAAAATATGTTAGCCTTGGAACGACCCAAAATTAGCTCAACAAGCCGATTAAGCATCAGCCGAAGCCATGTAGTCAGCCGAAACCATGTAAAACAATAAAGTTTTTAATCGAAAAATTATACGAAGTCAAGGTGAGTTAAATTACAACCAGCAGAATTAAATCAAAACACAAAAGCACTTACAAAATAAAACTCCATACAGCCAAAAAAGCAAACGTAAGCAGACAAAAATAAGCCGCCAATTTTTTCCCTTTTGAACCAATAACAGGTACTGTCCGATTCGAACCCAAAACCTTTGCCTTCCTAGACATATTCGTTACCTCACCAAGTATGCCGGGAACGCAAAAAATTTCGAACTTATCAAGAGCTGAACCTATATTAACTATTTCTAATTTTGACTATTCTTTGAACGAAGTTATTTACGGGAAAAAGTCTAATACCCGATTGCAATACGTTTGCCTATCGCAAGGGTAATTAGCAACGGAATAAAAATTACTAAGCGCAAACAAAACCGACAATCTTTGAGCAGACACCAGCAGAAAAAATCATCCCCTGAAACAACAATTGCATCTACCATGATACTTGCTTAAAGCCCAAGGATAGTCCATGATAAGGCGCACATATTCGGAACAAAATCTGCAGCCATTTATTGTACTCTGACAGCGCCCAATAACAGGGTTCGTGTATTCAAATTTTTTAAAATTTTTTAATTCAAACTTTGAAAAACCATAAAAATTTGAAAAACCATGAAGTTTTTTATATCAGTTGTTCTTTCAAATGACAAACAATTTCCCATCACGGAAACTGAAAGCATTTGAGCAGTCGCATTTGGACGCAAGATTTGCAATTTGGACCTCCTGAGAGTACCCTTACAGTAACCAACTACAATGTTGGGAATTCCGATTCTTCTGAAGTTTTCTGAAAACTATAAAAAATCACAAAAAACGCCATATCTTGAAAACTGAAAGAATTTTAGCTGTCTCAATTGAAAACAAAAGTTGCAACTCCCGAGAGTACCCTGACAGAGCCTCACTATAGAGATGGAACTTCAAATTTTGTGACGTTTTTTATATCTAAGTTCTTTTTAAAAAAGACTACAAACGTCACAAGTCGGAAACTAAAAGCATTTGAGCAGTCACATTTAGACGCAAGATTTGGAACTTGCAAATCATGAGAGTACCCTCGCAGTACCCAATTACAAGGTTGGGAATTTCGAGTTTAGTGATTTATTTTCTAATTTGAGCTCTAAAAAATTTTGAAAAAAATCACAAAATCGTCGTATCTCGTGAACTAAAGAATTTGGGCATTCATAATTGGAGGCCAAACTCTCGACCCACGGGTAAACCCTGACAGCATCCCACTATTGGGTGCTTACTTTACACTCAACCTTGTGAAATAAACCTTGAAATCAAAAACGAAAAAAAAATGTCTTAACCATTGCAATATACGATATATCTTAAACGTGAAAACATTCCTTCATACAACATGCAAAAATAATAAGCTGAAAAATCTTAAGCATGGCGAGATAGTGAAGCCCGCATGTAAATAAATAACTAGCGTGTAACGCACATTCGGTGCTTCAAATTTTTAACAACTCATAAGACACTTCGGAAAAAAAAACTAAATTTGAGGTATCAGAAAATTTTTTGAAAAACAATAAGAAACGTCTGGATTTGAGCAGCCCTATTTAGGGACCGAATTCGAAAATCCTGGAAAAAACCTGACAGAGTCTCACTATAGAGATAGGAACTTAAAATTTGTGAAATTTGTTAAATCTTAATTCTTGGAACAATTTAAAAAAAAAAAGACATAACAAACGTCACATTTCGGAAACTAAGAGTATTTGAGCAGTTGCATTTGGACGCAAGATTTGCAATTTGGATTTCCTGAGAGTAGCCTCACAGTATCCAACTACAAAGGTTGGAATTTCAATTCTTCTGAACTTTTTTTAATCTAAGTTTTCTGAAAAATTAAAAAAAAACATAAAACACGTCATATCTCGAAAACTACAAGAAATTGACCAGTCATATTTTGAGGCAAGATTCGCAACCCGAGAGAGTACTCTGACAGCACCCAACTACAGGGTTGGGAACTTTGATTTTTGTGATTTAATTTGTAATTTCAGTTTTCTGAAAATTTTTGAGTGCTTCACTATCTCGCCACGTTTAAGCTTTTTCAACGAATTATCTTTCTTTGCATGCTTAACGCAAATATTTTTTCACATTTAAGCTATATTGCATTGGTCAAGATTTTTTCGATTTTCCAGTTTGAATTCAGTGTTGATTTCACAGAGTTGAAAATAAGCAACCCAATAATGGGATGGTGTCAGGGTTCCCCCATGGGTTGCGAATTTGGCCTACAATTATGAATGCCCGAACCCTTTTATTGTTTGAGATACGACGATTTTTAACCATTGCATTATACGATATAACTTAAACGTGAAAAATTCTTTCCCTAAACATGCAAAGAAAATACGTTGAAAAAGCTTGAACGCGGCGAGATAGTGAAGCCCGCTTTTAAATATATAACGGACCGATTAATATAAACTTTCTCACTTGAACAACGCTCTGTTCAGATTGTCCCTCCATCTTGCCATGTTTTTTGAAGCCATCATGAGACTAGCTAACTTCCGTCTAGAAGTTATTAATCACTCCAATGAGACATAGTATCTATAATGATTGACTGAGTTGAGCGAAGAGAAGTATAGACGTATATATATTAAAGTAAATTCAGAAATGCAACTAACAAGCATACATTGAACAAACTGTTTCATCAATTTATGTCTTCATTGGACTCGTTTGCTTGAGGCATTCCCTGCCATATTCTTAAATGTTTACAAAGCGATTAATTCAATGTTTGGTGGCAGATCAGTTGAAGTTAAATTGTCATAAAGTTTTGTCTGAGCTGTGAAATTTAGTCTTTAGAGATGATATGGGAACATATGGTAATTCCAATCAAAGCAAATCTTTTTCTGCAGTAATGCTAATTTTTAAAAGCGTTCATCGATAAACTGCATAACTTTGTTCTATGATACAAGTTTCGAGACACACGTTCCAGGTTTATGTGTACTTCATTATTTCATGATAGATAACGTTCACTTGAAAAATGATTCTTTTGGTTGGGTTTAATGAGCTATATTATTGAAAGAAGTTTGTTTTCAGTTCTCCGCAATAGAGAATTGTGAGGCTCGCTGAATATATCATTTCCTGAGACGCTAATACGTCAAACTGTGACTTTAGTGATCCATGGGTCCGCGGATAGATGACCACCCTAACTCAAGTCCTGAGTGAATTCCGGTTTTAGGAGACAATTTTTCCTGCTGAGAAAAGCAAACTCATAAGGACATCAACATGGGGAAACCAGCCGTCAAAATTCAAGATCAAATAAGTGTGTCATGATCTATTAGTCGGCAAGTTGTCGAGAAGAGAGGCCACTGTCATACATGCAGGAAGAAGCTGAAGGGAGACATATTCTCATGTGTGAAGTTGTGCCAGTCGGTCATATTTGGAAGTTTGACCTTGAGGAATACGAACTACGTAATTTTGGGATGAAATTTATTTTTTCCAAAAATTCGAATTGAGCCTGTCATGCTGAACTTTCTCGCGAAAACTGAAAATATCAGAACGACCGGATAATAATCACGGGAAAGTGGTCAAGTTAAGCAGCGGGAAATTCCTATTCGAAATTTCCGACATCTAAATAACACGAGAGTAGAGCTCCTATCTTGATACAGAAAACAAAGAACATCGAAAATCAGTTGGACCAGAGTGAACCATCGGTCGAAAGGTGGACAACCAAGGTGTCCCAATGGTCCAGAACCAAAACTCCATTCTTGAGATAAAACTTGTTCGATTAGAACTTATTGAACCAAACTTAATTTCCCGATTATTCTCAAGTTGCTTACTAATGTAGTTACCTCTAATTCTCGAGTGTGCTGGTATGTGAGTACCCAATTTAATTTTCTTGAGTGTTGTGCCATTCCGCCGGATGACACAGTATAACCTTCCCGCGACGGAAAAAAAAGTGACTAAAGGCCTTACGAACAGAAAAGTGTTGCGACGGAGGGTCAGAATGTTCTGGAATTTTTATTTTTAAAATTTCGATTTGAAGGAGAACATTTCTGAGAAATAGAAAAAAGACGGCCATTTTGAATAAAATAGAGAAAAATCAGAACGACGCCATATTTTGTGACGAACGGTTGTATCCGAGACGAGAAAATTACGGAGCCTCTTATCGTGGCAATAACACACGATAAGGACCTTAGTGACGGATATTTGTGGAGACGGAGGCTTCAGTGGGGGGAAGAGAAATACCACGGAACCCTCCCGGGACACGAAATATAGGAGATAAGAGTGTTGTCTCAAGAAAATCACGGGAGCGGAGGCTTGGTCCCCCAGAGACTGTTATATGTGAAGGGACTGTGTAAACTAGCCATAACAGTTGCTGTAATGTCCTAGATCTGAATTAAACACCGTTATTATTTAATATTTCAGAGCATGAGTAGATAGAGAAAGGAAAAGGTCAATCCATCTCCAATGGATTTGATATAAAACTGTCACACAAAAACATATAGAAATAGGTGGTTCGAGCCGTGTTTTTAATGACAATCACGTAGTCTGAGGATCCGAGACTCAGCTATGTGGTTGTGTTCGCATGCAAACGAAAGCTGATCAAAAGTCGTTTGACTGATGGCCTAAAAATAGTAACTTTTTACTTTGCCCTAGACAGACCAGAAAATCAACTGGCAAGGTCGAGACGGTGAAAAACGAGTGGAATTAAGGTAACTGACGCCTGCCAGTCGTCAATAGGTACTTTTTCTACGCTCCGTCGCTGTGTGATATTTGGGCGAATGTTACATAGACGTTTTTATGGCGCTCCTGGGTGGGCCTGTTAAAGGCATGAAACCATCATGATCAGCAAGCGTTTCAGCGACGTACCCTCCGCTCCGGGCGTATGCCCGAGTTAGAGGCCTTAATGACCGTTTTCGTACTAGGGGGAAGGTGCGTACCCCTCCGTCTAGTACGATTTAGCTTTTTAACTTAGTTAACACCGAAAATTCCGGGGGTCGGAGGGTTAGGTGGGAAATCTAGAGCCCGCTTGTCCTGAGGTCCCAGGACCAAAAACAATTAAAGAGAAAGCGTAAAACCAAACAAAAAATAGTGTATAACCAAGAAAAAGCCAAAAATAATTATTTAAAAACAAAAAAAAGTACAAAAAACAGTAAAAAATCCAAAAAAGACCAAAAACAGTAAAAAAAACATAAAGTGACAGTTTATATGTTATTTCCGGACGAGATGTGATCTGACCTTCCTATTTGTTGTTGTTTCAGATTGATTTATATCGTTTCTGATAGAGAGATTGTGTGTTTTGGTGAAGGGTTGGGTACCCTCCCTCGAGTGTAATTTGAGTGTTTAAGCACGTTAATGGTGATTTTGCCGGTGACCGGAGGGTAGGGTGGCAGGCTGATCAACGTGTTCCACACTCAACAGGGACATCAAGGACAACATCCGCAACGACTGTTGGGTATCGTTGAAGCAATTTTAGTATCGTTCGGGTACTATTTCCTTAAAACTTAAGTGGTGGGGGGCACGATTGGCGCGGTCCGATTGTACCCTCCATCGATTACAAATTTCCGAGTTAAGGGTCTTAATTCGAATATTTTGGTGCAAAGGAGGGTATAGTACTATTTATTAACGACTATTTATAGATTATTGTCCTTACTATATATTACTTATCTCCTATTTAGACCCAAGAAACACCCATTTTTTGTCGAAAATTACCAATTTTCGACCAAACTGTAGACCCCCAAATTTTCGGATATCCGAGCTTTTCCGATAGGCAAAAAGCTTTTATATAGAGAGTAGCCACGTAGTTCGATCCCCTTTATTAAAGAAACCGCGTGAGCAAAGATTCAGTAGAAGTTAGGAAAACGAGAATTTTTCGACCAAAATTTTGATAATTTTCTGTATTTTGTCAATCTGTTTTGGGGATCGATTTTTTGAGTTTTTAGAGTTAGAGCAATAAAATTTTTTGCGTTAGGAGCGTGCTAGCATAACGTGCTCGGTTACTAGAGAAATTTTTGGGTAACCCTCCGAGTAGCTCCGTGGATAGAGCTAACGACTTAAGGTTTGGAAAAGGAAGGAATCGGAGGGTCCAAATTTGATAGTTTTTGGCCAAATTTTTGTTTCTAAACCAATTTTGGTCCGGTTTTTTGCATTATTCCAGTGCCGTACAGGGCTACTACGCTCATTTCAAGTATTTTTAGGCACTTTCGACCGGAATTGCGAAAAAAGTCTTTCAGATCCTACACAGGTGGTGAAAAAGGCCATTTTGACGAACGCGTTTTTGGCGATTTCTCAAAGACTAGTTATCCGATCGGGATAATTTTGGTACCATAAGTCGACGTTTTTGACCACTTTTCCGAATCGCAACCGTTTTTGGGTTGATTATTTCGGAAAAGAAAAATTTTTTAGAATTTGTTGGTTCGGAGGGTCCAAGTAACGGGCAACCCTCCGAGCGGCAGAAAATTTTATCAAAACATCTTTTTATTCAACTGGGAAGGTTGACCGTGTCAGCCAACCTAGTTTTAAGTGAGGTAGACCGCTTTCAGAGGCTTCACTGCGGTGATTTAACCCTTTTTCTTGATTTTGGGGGAACCCTCCGAAGTGACCCTCCGGAGTCAGCTAAACCCTTTAGCAACCCTCCTTAGTGGAAAATTTCCACGAGATCACCCTAAGAAGTTGAAACAGCTCCCCCTAGAACCCTTAGCTTATTTTGACGCTTTTTGAAGCTAGTAGGAGAACCTTCCAAGTGAGATCAGAAAATTTGAAAATTTTGGAGGTACCCTCCGAGGTGACCCTCCGGAGCGTATTAAGCATCTTATTGACCCTCCTTAGTAAATTTAGGGGGACCCTCCGAAGTAACCGGGTGATTAAGATACCCTCCTAAGTAACTTGAGTGATTGAGGTACCCTCCGAGGTAACCCTCCGGAGTGTCTTAAACCTTCTAGCGACCCTCCTTGTAAGAGACTTGAGTAAACCTTCTGTGGCAATTTGGGAAACGGAAAATATCCATTTAATTAGGATCATATTAGGATATTAGGCGTGCTTATCAGGATCATAAGAATCCATTCTGACCCGGAAATTCGTGATCAACTTTGGATTCTATATTGGGTGTATTAGAGGGTTACCCGAACAAAATTTTTTTTTGATTGTGATTTTGGTTGAGTGGTTGCCTTGAGCTACTTAATAGGAAAGTTCGGGCAATCCGGGAACAAATAAAGGAAGACCTCGGTGGGTGTATTAAGCAAATACACACCCACTTGAGAAGAAGAATTGTTCCCTACTCTCGTGCACTTGGAGCAGTCCGAGTGTGGGAGAGCTTTTTCATAGATTTGACGAATTTTCGACCAAGAGGTTGCCTTGAGCTACTTAGTAGGACAGCTCGGGCAATCGCAGGACACCTAAAAGAAGACCTCGGTGGGTGTATTAGGCAAATACACACCCACTTGAGAAGACTGTGTCCTGGGCTTCGTTCTTTCGGATCGTTCCGATTGGGGGAAGTCTTTTTCTTTAAGACTAAGTTTTATTTATCTATTTCTGAATCATCACTGCTTTTTATCGAAGATTGTTTAATTTTAACAGAGCAGTGACTTGATAAATTGTGTGGCGATAAATTGATACTGACAAAAGGTCGCTGTCACCTGTAGGATATTCTTATCTGATTATCGATTGTGTTTTGTGTGTCGATTATATCTTGTGGAAACTTAGTGATACTGTTATACTATACAACCGGGTTGAGTTAGCATTATATCAATACTGGGTAGACCCTGTGTGTAACTTTAGCTGAGTCACTAATTTAGTCGTGAGAGATCTAAGAGACATTTTGATACTGACGGAATCGAGTAGGCAGCGTTAAGTGATTTAACTAGATCTTGTTCGTGGTACGTTTGCATTGCCATCAAATTACGAATACTTTCATTTTGTACAAAACTATGCAGCGCAGGGACTCGTTAGGATCGACTACTAAAATTCCCAGGCTAAGCAAGGGAAGCACGCGGAAATTTAGAACTAGGCGTAGCCAAACCTCGTTTAGCAGCGCTTCCGACGCGTTTGCTGAAGACGAATCGACTAAAGGTCAACCTGATCTTTCAGTGATCGAAATGAGACTAAGGAGCGAGAAAAACCTTGATGGCAATCAAGGGCGGAGCGCCGAGGCCGAGCCTGCGAGCGAAACGCCGGTGGATCCCTTTGACGAAGGGGAGCGAACGCTCATTCGACCCGACTTTGAGCCAGACGGGGTCCTCGAACGAGAGGAAGTCGAGAGGACAGAGGAGACCTCGGAGCGTTCCGAGGTCGAACCTCGGGAGGAGGTGTTGTACAGGGGAATGTCCAAGTCAGAGACTAAGAGCTATAAATGGAGAAGGGAACCTTCACATCTGACAAGTGCACACTCATCCTTGGCCAAACAGAGTAACAACGCGATGATGTCGAGTATGAGTCCGGGTGAAGAGCAGACGTTCTCGAAGGCCAAGAAGAGTTGGAAGTCCTTGTACGACGAACGCATGGCGTCACTACCAACTGTAGGTTTGACTTCCAGTGATGG